AATGGTGAATCTATAATGAAAAGAAAATCATTTGTTTTTGTCATATTTCACGAGATAGAATTCAAGAGAAGTTATATTGTATTTTGCTTTCTTTTGGAAACTGGACCTTATTTACTACACTATAGTCAAATGTGAAATGTTATAGTATTATGAAATGGTAACTAAGGTGACTTTCTGTTGGTTGAAAGGTAAATTAGTTACCGTGTACAGATATGATACACAGTAATAAGGTCAGGTTGTCTTTTATATATGTCGGCTCTCAATCAAGGTACAGAAGTCTCCGCCTAGTGATGGACTCACCTGGCGTAATAAGAGCAGTGTCAGGGGTCCTGTCTAACTATGTATGATTTATAGTTAAGAAGAGGATTGTAAAGGTAAAGTCATCATACGGAGGTACGCAGCTCTTTTGTAGCGTGACCTAGAACGTTCCGAAGGGGTTAATAATATAACGACCCGAACACGTTTACGGGTCGCTGTTTTATAACCCTCCTGGATGGTCTAATTGTGATTTGTGTACGCAGGAACAGGGAGGGGAAAACAAGGGTAAAAAGTGTGGAAAGAATGAAAATTTATAATTTGTAACTATTTTTTAGTAACTAAGTATAATGTACTCACATAGCATGCATACGTGTAGTGTTACATGTATTTCATCTTGGAAGTTGCAGTTTTGGTGCCAAGTGATTTACAGAAAATATTTTGAAGATAAAATTTAGTGATCTTGATTTTGTCAATATGATGATTATCTAATTAGATATTTGCCTTGGAGATCAATTTGTCCAGCATAGTTCAAAATTGTAGGTCACTACCTTGAGTCTCAAAACTGAATTACTACAGGTGCAAAATTGTGGGGACATGGTTTTACACTTTGTCGTTCCTTTGAAAGTAAGTTATATAAGCTGATAGCATCTTATTATTTTATTGGTCCCCCTATAACTTAGTATAAGCTAAAAGGTGTCACGCTTTCATTTTTAACCTGCCTGAATTATCTAGAATTCTGAATGGTGGTACATTTTGATTGGATTTATTTTTTTCATTTTCACACATGCAAAAACATGTACTTTTTGTACTTTATGATATTAAAACTGGATATTGGTAGACAATGTAAAATTTAGTATCAGCCAATCCAATATTGTATGAACAGTTCACCTACGCCTTCCCAACACCTCCAGAAATATCTGTTAATTGGACAAATTTTCCACTTCTCCAATCTACAGTGTTTGACGCACCAGGACTAAATCTAATTGTAGGTGTGGATTCCTCCGTTGGTCTGTTTCTAATCAGGTTAACTCGTCAATCAGTGTGACAGCACCTGGGAGCCAGGCCGCCCCCCAATCCCACCTGTACAGTCACTCCACTCACCTTCCAACAACCCCATAAACATAATCTAATTACCTGCATCAAAAGGGATATCTGATCCCCCTTAGCTTGAAAGCAAAATCCAGTTTTCTGAAACCCGGGGTCTTTTCAGTGCGTTAGTTTTGATGTGAGTATCGGTGACTGATCAGATGATGTTTTCTGATTACCTGCTTGTGCTAGGAGATTACTGAAATGATGTAATCCCTGCCTAGGCTAGACTAAATTCGTTATTTGTTTTTTAAATTCTCTTCTTGTTTCCATATGTACCTCAACATAATCAAGGCTAGATCTATTCAGAGGTTAGCTTTAGATTTTGCAGGTTGATAACGTAAGTATCACATCTAAGTGATATCTACTTTTAAGTTAGTTTAACATCATTGTAGCTACTAGTTGTTGGATTAAAGCACTCAATGTTGTAGTTGTGAAGGTACGAAATTACATCATCATTTTCCACTTTAATCTCCCAAGTTTACAATGAACGAATCGACACCTATGGAAAAAAAAAAATAACAGCTCCGGAATTTTATGGTGGAGGTTTTTGTAGTGGCGTCGAGGGTGCCATTATGTAGGTTGGCAGATGGTCCAGGCAGCTGATTGGGAGATTGTGTGGGGGAGTGATGAAATTAGGTGCGTCTGATTCACCTTTAACAAGGTTAGGCGCACCTGTATTGTTGTGGAAGGTTGGGGACGAACCAAGTAGGATTCAGGCGGGGGTGTTCGCTGGGATGTTTTCGTGATAAAATTTTGAAAAGATATGGTTCATGGGGTACAAATACATGTAGATACCAAAAGTAACAGGAAAAGTATAGCCAAAAGTTTTTCTGTCATTTTTACCCCAAATTTACTCCAGGTCTTTCTCTAACCCAAGAAAACAATCCCTAGAAGAAGTGACATCATTATATCCAATCGTGACAGTGCTTACCACATTACACAGTGGAATAATTTCTTTCAAGGCTTCATACTGAATCAATTCTTGTCTTTAAGAATTAACATCTAAGCTTTCACCAACACACAGCTTCATACCACCACATAAACACAATGTCTTTATCATTATATTTCCATTTTGTTAGCCCTGGTGGTAAATGTGTAGGAGCCATTTTTTTGTGTCCTTGCCAGGTATACACTGAGACTACTCTCCTGTATATAAAATATTGCTCCCCCCAAGTGTTATGTTCTAGGTACTTAGGAAAGGAAGATTTCCCAGTGTGCAGGTGTGATAGGGCTATAAACATGATGTCAAAAGGCTCGGCTACCTCATCAGACTTGTTCTGCCGTTGCCTGGTAACCCATCCATCATTTAAACTGTCCTGTGTCGTAACTCCTAGTTCATGACACTGTGCATCTGCCGCATGTTGAAACAATGCTGACACAAGTATGCAAGAAGTGTTTTACACAACAGAATTTAGGAATATCTTAGTGCAGTACAATTGTATAGAACCTTTTTTGAGGCTACATAATCTTTTGCAAGGTGACTTGCTGTTTGGAACTTTCTGCCCCCCTCCCCACTTGTTACAGGTGTCACTATCTGTCTAAACAGTAAAGGTGCAGCAGGAAATTTGGATAGAGGTGTGGTAAGGGCTTTCCTGCTGTGTGACAAGGTCAGAGTTGTTGTTTTGAACCCTCCGCCCCCCTCCCCACTCCTTCCAGGTGTTCCTCTGTAATATACCATCTGTCTGAACAATAAGGTGTGCCCGGGGGAAAGAATGAGTCACTCCGTTCCGGTTTCCTTCCCTTTCCCAGGAATTCCTGGTTCCTTGGAATTCCCAGGAAGGTTTCCGTGCCAGAGGAAGTGTAGTTCGACCTTTTGACCTTGACCCCCGCGCCCTTGCCTCCCCTGCGCGCTCAGGTGTGCTGGTGATTGAATCATACCCATCCAATCAGAAGGCGGCAGCAGACTAGCGGCAGACATTTCCTGTTAGAGTCAACTCACGTTGACCCCACTGGTGACAACAAAGTTTAAAACATTGCACCATCATAGTATAACAAATCTGAAGGCCTCAATAATTTTGTTTGTTGGTCCTCAACTGCTGATCTCAGCCAGGCAAAGTTTCCTAACAAAAGATGACAAACAGGTCTAGAAATTTCTCTTTCATCATTTCTTCTAATCAACTTGGTCCTAAATTCTTCCAGTTCCAGCTAAGTGTCTGTTTTTGTACCACCCCTTACAAACACAACTCAACAGAGTGAAGGAAGGAAGAGATTTGTTTTTTCAAATTGCTAATTTTAGTACCAACCTAGTAATACAATTACTGAGGACGAATAAAGGAAAATTCATGCTGTTGTTAACTGTAATTTGCAATTAGTCACAGGTAATATGTTTATGTGCACATTGAGCAGAATAGGCTCTGACAAAAGCCAGGTGAAATTGAGATTGTTTGAATCAGCGTGAGCGAATAAGTCACCCATGTCCCTGTGGCATCAGGTGAGCGGTTTAATCTAATCACTTCTCCATTCAGCCCTGTTCTCCCCAATTACAGCGCCACGTTTCCCCCGCATTCTTCAACATTACCGTTAACCTGGGCATTTTCTTAACAACTTCCTCTGAAATTGGGTCAGAATAAGACATAAAAAGAAAGACAGGTTTCTTTTTAAAACCTCAGTCCGCTCAGTGACTGTTTTTATGTGCTTGGAGAAAGGATAAGGCAGATATGTTTGAGATAGAACCTATGAAGCTGTTTACCCATCTCAAATTATATTTCATCACAAAGAAATGAGAAGAAGCTAAAACTCTGTATTAGTATTAGAGTAGTTTTAGAGCTTATGTTGTTAGATTAGTATCAGTAGTCCTGTTTGTACTACAAACATGTATGTACCTTTTCATCTGTTCACCTGTACTTAGCCCGATAGGGCATGAATTGTACAATAACGGTTGTCTGTTTTTGTTAAGTGTGAAAGATTTTCCGTGTTTTGTTTTTCTGTGGAGTTGGGTTAGACGTGATTTGCCGTCATGCATATCTGAACGTCCCACTCTTACTTTAATGGAGACATGTACGGCACACCTGGTAGAACTTAATTGGATTAGACTGGGTCTGAATTATTCAGAGTCGGGAAAATGGGGCGCCAAGAAGGAAGATGGGGAGAGATAATGATGACGCTGTGATGTCATCTGTCATTATCTGTTTGGGAAACTGTCATCATGTGAGTTATGTTTTACCTGGCCCGGGCAGGAAATACATTTTTCTGCATACCTGCACCAGACAAATTTCACTTGCACTGCTTACAATCTAGGAAGTATGGATACTGTGAAGCATTAAAGGAAATAATGGCAATGGTTTCTAAACAGTGTTTCACGTGATCACAGTGCAGTAATTAAAAATTCTACATGTACATGTATAGTTATCCCCAGTACATGGACCAGTCCAGGTAGACATCATAAATACCTGCTCAGCTCCAATTTTACTTGCACTAGCCTGCATATACCCAGTACATGGACCAGTGCTGGTAGACATCAGAAATACCTGTACATCTCCAACCTATGATTGTATTGTTTTTGGCCTGTGTATGTTTGTGTGTGTGTGTTATACTAGTGGGTGCTGCCCAGTTGTCTGAAGTTTAAAGGGATAAATTACACAAGAGATGAACTACAATATTATAGATTACATTTGTTGTTCATTGCTAATGTTGTTGTTGTTGTTGACCAACAGAATATGAAGATGAGGAGGATGAAGGTGCAGTTCTAGACGATGCGGACGCCAGCAGCACCACTCACATGTCCGACTCAGGAGTGGTGGAGGACAACGAACCTGAGCAGCGACTGGACGACAGTCTACACATGGAGAACGGCACACCCGTCCAGTCACCAGGTAAAACTACTCAGTAGAACTAGAAGGACTAAACTGCAGTCTAGTACACCTATCTTAGAATGTAATGTAAGACAAAACAATAGCTCAGTGCTTACCGATTATCGGTCCCTTGACCGGTCATGGGGGTGCTTTGTAGTCAAGCATATTGCCTCCCTCCATCCCTCTCTGTCATGTACTAATGCTTGGCTGCTGGCAAGAGGCAGGCCTGTCCATTCCCTATGTAAGGACTAAAAATGCAATCCAGTAAGCCTATTTCAGAATGTATTGTGAAACAAAACAAAAGCTCAGTGTACAAGAATTAATGAAAAAAAGCATGAATTGTAAATGTGCGATTTTAGAATTTTTCTGAAAGCTATGGTACCAACTATCAAATATGCTAATTTTCCCCCAGCTGCAGATGACATCTCCACAACCCCCAGTACCCCGGGGACGCCAGACCACTCCAACCCCCCCACCCCGGGGACCCCCCACCGTACTGATGAGCTGGCCGGGGAAGGCTCGCAGGCCGAACATGATATACGAGAGTACGCCAACAGGAGCGACACCGCCATCGTGTACCCAGAGTCCGCCGACGACCCTATGGTCGGTCATGCCCCTCCCAACGGAAGTAAGTTCACAGTTTCAACTGAGAAAAGAACATTTCTTTAGTTTACCAAATTTTAGTTTTATGTGTTAATTGAGGCCATGCCTACATTTCATTGTTACGTCAGGTTTGGAGAAATTATACTTAAACTGAATTGAAAGGGCAACATGAAATCATGAGTTGTGTTATCTGTGACTGGCACATTTGGTTATATGTTGTGTGCTAGTGGTGGATCGAGATACAAAGTGCAGATGCCAACAAATAATCTTGTCCTTGAGGTGTATTTTTGCACTATTTTAGCAAGATACATTGTATTGAAATTAATGAAAATGTACAGGTTTTACTACTAATTCTATTTTCTCTCTCAGAGGTAGAGACTATCACATGATGTGATGGTTTGAGGTCATCGAACTCTACGGATGTAGGAGCCAGAGTTGTAGTCTCCATGTCTGTGAAAACCCACCGCACATACATTTGTGTGACGATGTTGTAAACATGTGTAACACTGTGTCACACTAACAAAAACAAAAGTGTCAACAAGCGTAAGTAGTAGAGTGAGTGACTGAGAAGCAGTGTTTTTGTGGTGGTGGCTGGCACGTTTGCATGCAGAGCGCCAATCAAGCATGCCATGTGATCAACAGCTGACTAATCCATGCTGTTAACCTAACCAATCATTGCTAACCTGGTTAGTGAAAGCTGCAATCCAGGGAGTTTTATTACAACAGAACCTAGAAAAATATATTATTCATATCGGTTACAACTTGTCAGTTTCCCTTTAAAATCCTGGCACCAAATTGGAAAACAATGACCATAGGATTTTTAGTGATTTTAAAACACAAGACACCCTTGGTTGCAGTTTTCCTTGAATGGTTTAATCACACAAGTTTAATGCATGGTTACAAAAGCACGAGGCAGGTCTGCCTTACAGTAATCCTTCTGCATGATGGAAAACGTTCACAGTTAAGTATGAAAGAAAAAAAGCTTAAATTTCCTGAACGCTTCAGTCTTGTATACAACATGAAAAAAAAAGAACAAAAGTGGAAACTTAAGAAGTTTGAGTTTCAATTTCTGTAACTGTAGAACCTCAAAGAATAACACTGATATTTTTGTAGTCTTATAGATGAATGACTACAATTATGTTATGTCTGATTCCACACTAGGTCAAATGGTGTCAGTTTGGGAAGTCTCATACTTTGCTACTTTTTAAGTGACTAAAATGAAACTACTACGTTGTGTTTTGTCTGTTAGACTTAATTAAATACAATTTGACGTGAACTAAATTTCCCTCAAGTAATAATAGCTTCTGCAAGTACCAAAGTTGAGTCTACCATTCTGAAAAGACATTTGTCTTACAAGACTGAAGTGTTCAATCCAGTCTAAGCCTACTGCAGCTCTTGTTCAAGCAAGCACCTCTCAACTTCTTTCTTCCAGGAAAATCTCCTGCTGTACGCATTCTCCATTCCGGGAACAGCTGATGGTTCCTCTGAATCTCTTCCTCATCCCTTTGATTATCATTGATTTTTTTCTTCAACTTATCAATAAACAACAATCAATCTCTTTTTTAAGGTGATCCTTGCAATATGGTGCGCTCCTTCACTTGATCTGAATACTTTATTCATAGTGGCACAGTCCAAATGCTAAATCTAAATCTCATAGCTTTTGGACTGTTCCTCTTTGAAATGAGGGGAGTTTCGAATCACTTGTCTGGCAGATGTGGTGACTTTTGCACTGCTCTATTCTTGGCATTTCCTTTTTGGCTGTTACCAATTGACTGCAGTTTATATTAATCACCACAATTTGTGTTTTTCAGCTGGAAACCTTCTGGAGGATCAGCTGTTGTCTTGTCCGTACTGCGACAGAGGTTACAAGCGGTTAACGTCATTGAAGGAACACATCAAGTACCGGCACGAGAGAACGGACAGTAGTTATGCCTGCAACGAGTGTAACTACACGTTTGCCTACAAGTCGCAACTGGAGCGACACATGGCGTCACACAAACCCGGGCGGGACCAGGTCTGTGAGAGGTGTAACAAGGCTTTCGTGAACATCTACCGCCTCCAGCGTCACATGCTGACGCATAGTAGTGGGAACCGCAAGTTCAAGTGCCACGAGTGTGGGAAAGCGTTCAAGTACAAACACCACCTGAAGGAGCACCTGAGAATCCACAGCGGTGAGAAGCCGTACGAGTGCCCGAACTGTCACAAGCGCTTCTCGCACTCCGGATCCTACAGCTCCCACATCAGCAGCAAGAAGTGCATCGGGCTCATCTCCTTCCGCAACAAGATGGCGGCCGAGATGCCCCCAAACGTCGTCCCCACGAGCATGCACCTCCTCATGGCACAGGCAGCAGCAAATCCCACGGTGTCGTTACCCAACGGTTCAGCAAACCCTGCCAGTAACGGACTTCATGCCAGCTCCACAGGGCTGTTACAGGCGCAGCTCAACCTGACGTTGCCGTCGCTTCTTGCAGCTACCCCTCCCCTCGGTGCCGCATCATCTGTACCGCCTCCCGTTATGGTGAAGACGGAGCCACTGGACACGTTAAGCCCACCCATGTCCTCCAGGAGCAGCATTTCCCCATCATCGTCTGGTGTGTACGTTAGCAGCTCAGGAAGTTCCACAGAGAGCCCGGTGAAGGGCGACATAAACCAGGTGAAGAAGGTCCTACAGATCGTAGAGAACACCGTCACTAGGCAACAGAAGGAGACGGGTGCCATGCCGGACACACGGGCCCGGGCCGTCGAAAACGTCGCCGGAAATCTCAGCGACGAGTTGTCGAAAATCAGGGAAAACGCCAAGGCCATGTCCCTGGCAACGGAGGCACTGTCGCTCAGCGATGCCGCTCGTCTCCCACTCAACCTGAACGGCTTCCACACAGGTGACCCGACCAGCGCTTCCAACTACATCTTAAAGTATACCCTGGAGAAGTTCAACCAAGCCAAGGCCCTCCAAGCCTTCCTGCCCCGAGAGAGAAGCTTTGCGCCAGGTAAAGAGATGAAGGACTACACCTGTAGGTACTGTGGGGAGGCTTTTCCCGGCGCCATTCCCCTCCACCAGCACGAAAGGTACCTCTGCAAGCAGAACGAGGAGATTCTCGCCGCTGCACAGCTGCAGAAAAACGCGCAGCTTGCCGAAGCCTCGTTAATCGAACAGGCTAGGTCGTTTAAGCCTGACCTCTTAGACTTACAAGGCCAGTTTCTCACCAGCAGTTTAGAGAAGGCCAAGTCAGAGTTGGACCTTTCCAGTGAGCACTTGACCGTCCTGAAAGCCTACTATGCCTTACATGCACAACCTTCCCCAGAGGAGCTGGTCAAAATCTCCAGCGTCGTGGGACTTCCAAAAGACTTTGTGGAAAGCTGGTTCGCGAACATGCGCGAGAGGAATGAACCCAGCGGTGTGGATGAGAAGACTGCAGACCCTGACCGCGTGGCAGGCAGCGAAACTGAGGTGCTAAACCTGTCAGCAAAGGCAACAGCACCCAGCACTCTGCCAGGGGAAACCAATGAACCAACAGAGGCAGAAATACCCAGAACACAAAGCCCCTGCGAAATAAAAGAGGAAGAAGGGCAACCGCCATCTGACGGTGATGCTCCCATGGACCTAACTCTCCCGAAGACAGAGGCATCCAAACCTAAACCCAACAGTGTCGTCACGATCTACAACAAACGAAAAAGTGCCATGTTCGCGCCCATCCCCGACCCCCTCCTCACCAACCCTGCTGCATACTATGCAGCCCTGCCCTTCTTCGGTCAAGGCGGTATACCGACACCGTTTCCCGGATACATAGACTTTCTCGCCTCCCCGATGACGGGGGCATTTCTAAACGGGCTTGGCTCCCCCTACCTCACTCCAGGCTTCAACGCAGCTACCCTCTCCGCCAAGAGGCAGAGGTTAGACACGCCCACCTCCACACGCGGCAGGAGAGGGCGGCGGCGAGTGTTCGACAACGTCGGAGGCAGGGTTCCCATGGCAACGCAGTCAGCCACGCCCATCCGGATGCCTTCGCCGATGCACCCGTCAATGGATCCAGACACACAGAGCCCCCTAGCACTGGCACAGGAAACTGCAGAAGGATCGCCGAGTATACCCTCCCCCTCTCCATCTGGAACCTACCCTGGTAAGAAGAACTTTTTGTTGTCCTTTCCTTAACTATCAAATAATCAAATCATTTTAATAAGAAAGACGATGATCCTATAGTATCAGTAGCCATTTTCTCTAAGATTATAGACTTGAAGTATCTGTATGGTGGATTAGGACTTTTACTAGTCTGTAGAATAATCTTTTTTAAGAACCAGTTCTGGTACATCTTCCCTCATAGACTCCTGTATAGGTTGTTAACAGTAGTGTCTGCCCTGATTGTGTGTTGTCCTCTGTCGTTGTTGTTGTTTCCTTGGTGTAAACGTTCCCCCGTTGTTGGGTTGTCACACGCAGGATATATTGGTGATTCCGCCAGCTCTCCAGGTTCCCCCGCCCTGTCCACGGGAACCCCGGGAAGGAGAAGGGACAGGACCACCCGGACCGAGGACGGCCTGTACGCCTGCGACTTGTGCGACAAGGTTTTCCAGAAACACAGCTCCCTGCTCAGGCACAAGTACGAACACACAGGTGAGACCACCTCGGGTATGAGACCTATTTCTTTCATTGTAAAGGCATTTAAGATCTGCTCTTAGGTTATTTGCACTTGATACAGATTCATGTGAGACCAGAGATTGTATTTATGATAGAATGTCTGATAAAGTGCACATGAAAACAGTGTATAATATACACTGGATAAAATACACTGTATATCGTAAGGGATTTTATCCAGCAATGCCCTGGGTGGAAGGATGTGGTATGAGGTTGCCAGGAATGTGTGCTCAAGGTGTATTCATGTTATGAAGCATAGGCCACATATTTGATTTATCATTACATCATACAATCCTAAGATATAACATGCCATACAATGATGCAATTCAATCAGGTATGATCATACATTTTGTAAGGTACACACATTAACCTAAACCCAAAACACTTCCCAGAAATTTGAAGTGTCTGATTTCTAAGTCCCTTTTCTTGACTTTGTACACATTAACTAATCTTGTTGCCTTTCCCTGCAGGGAAGCGTCCGCACCAGTGCCCCATCTGTCAGAAAGCCTTCAAGCACAAGCACCACCTGATCGAGCACTCACGCCTGCACAGTGGGGAGAAACCCTACCAATGCGACAAGTGCCTGAAGCGGTTCTCTCACTCCGGCTCCTACAGCCAGCACATGAACCACAGATACAGCTACTGCAAGAAGGACGACTAACCACTAAGTCATTACAATCTCACCATGAACATGAACTATTCTGTTAGCCTGGATGCCTTCTATCTTTAGTGTACTCTATTGGTCTCTTCCCTACCAACAGGATTGAACTTGCACCTATTCTGTCCACCTTTCTTTTGAATATTTGTTTAGAATTCACTTTGATGCTGCCACTTAGGTTTGGCCAATTAAATTCTGAGCAAATATTCATATGACAGACGGATAGAACATTTGTAAGTCCTGTCTATAACTAAGTTTTAGAGGTGACCAAGAGAGCATACGAAAGCTAAAAAGGCTGGCATCCAGGCTTGTATTTTGTACAAACATACATCAGTAGTGCATCCGAACACAGTTTATGCAGGAATACGTCAACATCAGCTTGCATTAGACTGTTACTCAAAGATGAGATTTGACCATCTAGAGGAGGCTGTTGTCACCACTAATGCTGAAAATGCTGCTTGTGAAAGAAATGGCTACAGACCTCTTGGAGACATACTTGGAGCTAGAGCTAAGACAGCCCTTTGTAGGTGTAAGAAAGAAATAGTTAATTATCTAGAAATTGATTTTTAAAAAATCGTTTTTTTAGATAGGTGCAGATACACAATCTGCTTTAGATATATAGTGAACATACCACTAGTTTCTGAACAGAGAAAATGACGTAGATTAATCGCTATCTAAGACTTTCCTATGTGTATGTTATACCTAGTGAAAAAGTTGTAAGGTCTTATATAGCAGTTTGCTGTGCCACTTCTTGCCATTGTACATTGGACAAAGTATAAAATCTTGCCATTTCTACAGTAGAGTAGAAACTTTGGGACATTTTTGTCAGTAACAAATGTGATACCTGTATATGTAGGGTTTTTCTTAGACAAGGAAAAAGCCAGATGCCTTATGTGCAATGTTGAATAGTATGATATGTGTTACATCTTCCAGTTGCTTAGATAATGTATAAAGATAAAACCTCTTTTTTCTCATCAGCCTATCACCCTGTTCCCACCCACAAAACTGAATGTTATCTTCCACTGAGGGGAAACTAGCATGTGCCACTGCATTTAAAGGGGTGAGAAGGCTGCTGGAAGAAATTTCCTTCTTGTACATATGTGAAGAAAGAAAGAAAAAGCCATGACACCTTTGTGTTTAGTAGGATAAAGTAAAAAAAGTGTTTGAATTAGTTGCCAAAAGAGAGGACTGTGGAAATCATACCGAGATGTGGAAAAAATTACTTAGGATCTAAATCAGGGGAAGTGAGGGTGAGATACTGAAGGGAGAGAATGTAAAGTTGAGTAGTGGTGTGTTTTTTGGCAACGCCTCTGGAGCAGAGCCTTGTAAAGTAAGAGAAAGTCGTGAGAATGTCATTACTGGACAGTATTATTTGCTCATGATCAGGACACAACATCATGATACTGATACAGTGCCATCAGATAGCAAATGTAGAGGCGTTTTCTGAATTGTCTGGTATTTTTGTTTTTGGTACCAAGAGTATGGTGTGTGAGAATTGTGTTTAAACGAAGGTGCTGGTTTGTTATAGCAGGACTGAGAGGGTTTGATACAGAGTAAGGGAAACATAGCAACTTGCAATGTACTGATTTGAATACATGAGAAGAATTTGATACAACTTCAGCTGAACTGAATTTATAGTTAGGCCTTGTTTTACATACGGCAGTATGTATAGGTGCCAATTATGTTGCCATATAGTGTGTAAAAAGATATACTTTTAGGTGTAATGGTTAAGAACATGTTGCATGATTTAAGAGAGAGAAGATGCCTTGGCAAGACAATAGGAATGGCTTTTGAATGTAACAAATCAAGAACTTTGTGTTCTTTGAAAGAACACATTTACTTGTGATTGACACTAGAATGCTTTGATGACCATTTCATGGAAACAACTGTCACATTTTTTGTCATAACCATGGTAACATGGATTTAACCATAATTTGGTGACTCTGGCAGAGTGAATCATGCAACATTTTATTACAGTTATTTGCAAAATGTTGGTTGCCAATCAGGTTTTGGCATAATGAGAGTAAGAATTGAGTACATGTATTCACCCATACATGATCACTATCCTGTGTTTTATCAATGAACAAGCCATATTATGTGATAAGTTGTTATGATATTTTCAAATATGTTGTGATATAGAATTGTGCACAATAGATTTTTTTACATGTTGAAGTAACCTATTTTAGACTTGGTATGTTCCAAACACTTCCAGTTATTCTGGGTTGGTCCATTATTGACAGGGGATTCCAGCTTTGGGGAACACAATTTTGGTAGATTCCCGTTATTTTAAGAGAGTTGAGACAGAAATATTTTTAAGAAATGATAGCCACTCTTTGTCTTGATTTACCTGTGCAATTATTTGAAATGTTATAATCCTCGGTGGCACAGTGATGTTTTATTTCCCTAGATAATTAGCTCATTTGGAATATTTGAAGATAATTTGTAGCTATTGTTGTGATCAATATAATTAGCTAGTGCATGCAGGACTTGTTGGCTTGCATGAGTAGTATAGGGGGTGCAATATGCACCAACATTGAAGGAGGATTAGATTTATGGAATGTTTTCTTAGGGGCAAACTATGAAGGAATATGGGGTGTACTTAACAATGGTTACACTAGGGTGCAGTTAGATGAAGAAAGAGAAATTTTTGAGAAGACTTCAAGTTCAAAGCAAGGAAAAACATAAAACATTTTTACATGCACCCCTCCGATCCTTCATGGTTTCCCCAAACTGTTGACCATTTGTGAATATGAAGTGCATTTCCTATGTCATGTCAGCTTGCTCAGATGACTTATTTGTTGCCAAATTTAAAAGTATATAAAATTATAAGTAGCAAAATTTGCTCATAAATCTGACTAAAAGCAAACATTGTAGATTATTGTGCCTAGTTACCATGCCTACCCACATACCATATTAGATAGTGATTGTCTTGCCCATCTTTGCAAGGTATGGCCCATGTACAAAACGGATATTTTTGTGTTGGATATATATAAGGCACTTGCACGCAAGATTTGAATCGCAGACTAAGTATGCAATTATACAGAAGTTAACATCTTTAGTCTTAGCAAAATATTTATTATTTACTCATTGTTTATTTATTGGTTAGTTTTGGCTACTTGTGTTTATTTATTTTGACTTAAAGATATGTTGGCCTTTTGTATTTTCAGTTGTCTGTATCTAAAACGAATAAAACGTCTAACTTTACCTTTGATTGTATTGTGACTTGTCTGGGCATACACCAAGGCATTTAGGCGTATATAATCAGTAAATGGTCAAGATAAGTGCTGGCGATGCAACAATTGGCACATGTGTATCTATATATGTAGGTCTACGACTCGCTAGGAAAAATTCTGACAGTTTGGGACTGGAAAAATGAAGATTCAGACACATACCTTCTTTCATAAACGTAGTCTCCCCTCCCCTACTTTGTGTGGTGTGTTTTGAATTAAGTGTGTTTTCGATCAGAAATGCAAAGTGGACAGGTGCAAATATTTGACGGACATGTAGTCGCTCTCTCATTGGTCTAACCAATAATTCCCGTGATATCATTGGTTGAATTATGATGGACAGCCAATCAGAATCTGTCTAACAACCGCGGGCATCAGGTGCTGATGCATGGCGGCATCTCTCTTCAAAAAACTTCCTCCTAAATACGTTTTATTATTGTTTAACACTCCACAACTGTGGTCAAAGCTCTTGCTTGCGCTGTACGTACTTGTATTGTTCCCGGTTTGGGATTTTCATTGTATTTTTTTAAACTTCTAAATCAGGAAAAGTTACTGATGCAACCTTAAGACCTTCAGACACATACCTTCTTTAACATTCCAAGAACTCTTTCTCCCGTCTCCTTCACACTTAAATTTTTCTCGACCTTTCTGTACATCTGCACCATAGCGAAACCTGTTCAGCCAAAAAAACAGCCTTGCAACTTACCGATTACCTACAAAACAACCAACTACCCGTAACTTCCCCAACCCTTTTCACGGCGAAGATTCTTTCGGCACGAACAACAATCCTTTAACCCGGAAACTCAGGTTTTAAAAGAAATAGTGATCTTAGCCCGGGAGTTTATACGTTACCTCCTGGCGGGAGGAAAGGCGGGCGGCGCCTGGCAGTCTGGGGCGTGCGGTGATGCGGACGAAATAAATAATACAAGGTGAACCGGCTCGCAACCCGTGACAAAATAGCTGCGGAACCTGGCGGGTTTTAATAACTGTCAACCATTTCTCACTTTTTGCTGAGTAAACGTTCCGTCACGGCATGGTACTAGTGTTAGTGCCGACATCGTGGTCGCCAAAATGGGCACAAAACCCACTTCGTTTCGACTAGTTGACTGTAAAATGCCACGATTCCGACATGGTATTTATACATTTCACTCATTATCTCAAATTCGTGAGTGGAAAAAAGGGGGAAAACTAAAAAGGGGGAAATGACCTCCCTTGGCTTGAAGTAGAACAGCCCACATGGTTCTTGGAAGTTGTGCTGAGTCACCTTAAGTTCACCTTCAAAATTACCCAGGTGACTGTTCTTACAGACTGCGTTATATAACAGCCACTTCTAGGAAAGAGGCCGCTGGCGCTGCGGCATTACAGAAAGCATATTTGCTGATCAGTGATGTACTGAGCAGAGCTGACATACTACTTTGTTATGTTGTTGATTTGTCATATTTGTTATCTGCGAACGGTTTCTATGTTTCAGCAGCGTTTTTTTTAATCTGCAAGCAAATATTCCGACCAGGTAGTATCAGTCTAATGCCTAAAATCACGCCAAAAAATGTGCCGAAGCGCTTGAACCTCTGCTTGGCGAGTAGACTTGACTCTTGAAATACTGAGTGCTTTTGGGAGTGAAGGTGCAGCGCCACCAGGCGGGGTGTCTCTAAATTGCGACGACATTAACGTTACTAACCCTAATGTGAATATCGAATCATAATGAACGGCAGAGAGGGAACGTATTGCAAAATCCACAGCCGGGGATTTCACCAGTTTTATTGTACATTGTGTTTTTACATTAACTTAAGACGTTACAAATTAGTATAACTGTACACGAATTTAACTTGAGACATTCTCAATTTCTAGCAGCTACATCTTAGCACGTACTTGGTGGGCCAGAAAAATGCATATATATAATATATATACCCCAATTAGCTATTAGATATTATGACCGGGGTTCGCCGTATCTTTCACTTCTTTGTTAAAAGCAGCCTTGAATAGGTCAACCAGGAGGTTGATAAACTCGAACACTGTAATGACAGACAGCCCTACATACAGCCCTAACAGTCCACCTAGGCCGCTAAGCAAGGATTCTTCAGTATAAGTAGGGTTTTCAGTGATCAGTTCGTAGTTCAAGTCACGGAAGTACACGTGAATTCTTGCGAGATTTTGGCGCAATTCATCTGGGTTGAGTGGCAGATTTTGAGCCTGACTTCTGGTGTGGATGTTCTCCAAAACGTACCAGGCGTAACTGTCCGACGGCCATAAGGATGAAGACAGCCACAGCGCGTAGGAATCCTCGTTACAGGACTGACGACAGTCGCACGACAGATTGCCGTCCTCGTGACGACTCCGGACGTCTTGACGGCAACATTCTTGTGTCTTGTTCAGCACACTACACAAGGTGCTATTGATGGCTATCAGCTCATCAGAACAGCCACACTCGTGCAGTAAGGCTGCCTGCAGACATGAATGTTGACATGTCTCGTACGTGTATCTCCCACCGTACAGTGCATCTCTTTCCTGATGTGAAGTGCAGTCTCCGTACGGATAGGGTCGTCTTTTTATAGAACTGCGTTTCAAGCTGACGAAAGTGCTCTCTCCGGGTTTGGTATTGATGGCATTGCCTTCAGGAAACGGCGTTGACCCTACACTGTGGATGGTGACCTTTGCTCCTATATCCTGACCGAAGAGCCCGACGTATTCGTTGGACTCGATTGACAGCGTCAGTTTTAGACCGTACTCCGCTCCCACCTTGGTGGTGTTTCGAACTATGTCGTCTTCACCGTGATTGAAGGTAAAACAGTTGCCATATTTGGCGTTTTGCGTCACTTTGAAATCGTCCAATGAGCAACGCTCTTTGTCAAACGTGCATTGAAGAATAAGGTCTTCCTTTTGGTGACCCATCTCGGCAATCTCCTCTCTCGTAGCCATTGAAAAGTCCGTGATGTCGGTGTAGTCATCTGTGTTGGAGCTGAGCAGGAATTCACCCCAGTCGTTCTCTCCAGCAACAGCGTTCAGGTCCAAGTCTACACAGCCGACTTCACACCGTTCGACATGGCAGTATTCCCAGTCCCGCTCTCCTGTGAAGCACCATGGTGCTTTAGACGGATGATCCGGTATGTTCCGGCAGTAGTTTTCAGACAGATCTGCGTCCGGATACAGTGAGGGAGTGGTGCAATGATACTGTGGATCATGGGAGTTCCACTTCTGACATGGCCGGCCGCTCCTAGTGACGTTCTGCTTACCCCTGTAGTTCAGGCCTCGTCCCACGATACACTCGGGTTCAGAGCACATCAACTGATGACGATGATAAAACTGAACATACTTCTCGTTTGTACTTCTTGGACTGCAGCTAGAGGATCTACAGCCGACTATTTCCAGTCGGAATCCACCCCGTCCTTTCCATGACAGCGGATACAGCCGTATGTATCGCGCTGCGACTGCGCGAGGAAAGTACACGTGGCTTGGAGTGCCGCCATCTTTGTTTCCCATTAACTGACCAGTCTCATTGTCTGTCTGCCACTGATTTCCATCGACACTGAAGGATAACGAGAAAGACGTGACGTAACCGCCAGCGTCACCGCCACCTTGTGTGATCACCCCGGCTAGCACGTGGGAGTCCCGTAGGTCTACCTGTATCCACGGCGTGGCGTCATATTCGTCCATCTTCCAGTAAGACCTGCTGTTAAGGCGGGCGTGGTTTGGTGTATGCTGTTGGTCCAACCAAGAGGAGGCATTTATGTGGACATGTGAAATAACGCCACTCTCCATGCCTAGCGGACTGTTACAGCCAATGAAATGATTTGTCACATCAGCTTTTCGTGGCGCGGATGAATTTGATGGTGTAGGGCGTGACTCTGGTGTACAACAGTAGACAGTAAAGGCAGCTGTGTCGTTGGTTGGAATTACATATTCGTAGGTAACGTCATCGTTACAGTTATGATCTGATGTGTTGCATAAAGTTTGGAGAGTAGCCACAGCGTTCAGCTCGGCAAACCATGCAAAATCTTCGTCTCTTTCAACTCCGTCTTCATACAAGGCGTTGAGTTGAGCGCGCGAACAGGCCTGTTTATCTGCCATGCCGCACAGTGTGAAGGCCTCCGATTGGTTGGAAAACCTGTCTTCACTGAGAAAGAAACTCTCTTCACAACAAAGTGCCTTGTAGGCTTTCAATCGATCGATTTGGAATAGAGGGATTTTATGGCCTAAGCAGTTCTCACCAACACGGCATCCGCACGTTTCGTTCAGCAAAGCGACTTTGTGGGCCATGTTGATCCACGCAACGTCTTCTGGGTAACTGTCGCGCCTGATAGAAGCCTCATGGACGGCCATCAGCTGTGAAGGGAGACAAAGCTGCATGCCCCGGTCACGGCAGCCCTTCTCAGCACTGCTGTGGTTCTGGTAAGTCTCTTCTGTGAGCTCAAACAGCTCGTCACAGCAGTAAGCTACACTGCTTACCTCATTTGAAAGGCGATACCGATATATATTTTTGAAGCAAAATTCCCCCGTCGCGTTTGTGCAATCTTGTTCAAACATGGCTTCCAAACCACTGTCTCTGATCCACCCCCATTCTGTTGCCTTCATATCTCGAATTGTGTTTAGCAAAACCAGCTCTTCCAAAGAACACAGTTGTTTTCCTCGCTCTTCACAGTACTGTGCGGCGAACGCGTGTTGGTAAAACCTGTGCCTTGTTGGGAATACCGGTTCGTCTTCATTCTCGCTGATGGGGCATTTTGCGATGGTCTGACAGGGATTCGAACTCAGGTTTGCAAGTCCGGAGTCTGAGGCAGAAGGACAGACTAAGCCGGTGGTATTTTCCTGCGGTGCAAATCGGCAGAAGTTCTCCTCCAGGCAGAAGTCGAAGTGACGGTTTGGGCAGGTCCAGTCTTGGCAGACGGCGTTACCAGCAGACCGAACGGTCCCGCGGTACGTGGTGACATTTGACACACAGTCATTACTGCTGCAGCTGATGGAGCTTGGATCTACGGTGTTCATCATTGGGAGTAGGGCATGGGCAAAGATGCAATCATCTTCCTCACATCCAAGAAACTCAACACGGAGATTCTTTTCGCCCCAACCACTGACACGAGGCAGAATGGCGACGTGTCGGGCTATGACAGGACGCGGCAGATGTTGGAAGTTGTTGCCATTGCCGTCGACATGGCCGCAGAAAAGGACGGGTTCGCCAAACTCATCTATATAATCTATCCATTGAAATGACGTCATGCCGTGCTGTATGGCGTATGTCTGAACCGTTTCCTTGTCGCCTTGGATTATAATTCCTGTTAGAATAATTACTTTGCCAAAATCTACCTCAAACCGCGGACTTTCGTCGTAATAGGGATCAAACTTCCACGGGGTCATTGAATTCAAGCGACCGTACTCGGGTGGGTGGCCGTCAGAGGATGAGGACGCTGAAATTTGGTGGTCGTGAATTTTCCCGCTTTCCATGCCAAGTGGATTGCTGCATCCAGGAACTTCGGCCGTGCATCCTGACTGCACACACATTTGGGGAGCGCAACAGAACAAACCAGCATTTTGAGGGGTCTCGTTTGTTGGTAGTACCCCACGGTAGCATTTCGATGCGGTCTTGTTTGGACAGCCGTCTTTTACCATCATCTGCAAGTCTTCCGCCATACTGGCAAACCAACCCCAGTTGTCAAAACGCCTGCCATCATTGTAAGCTGCAATCAGCTGACTAGCGGTGCACGGCTCGCCATGTAAATCGCCAATTAAGTTCTCGCATTTTCCTGAATTCAAAGCCTCCGCGTGCGTTTCAAACGTTACGTCGGTCAGCGCAATGTAACTGTCGGGAGGGCAGCAGAACGTTGCATTGATTTTGTAAGGTATGTCTTCAATGCGTTTCAGTAGGATCCTGTAAATCAGAAGTGAATAGAAATTACCCACCGAGGCAAACTCCTAATACACATATTACTAGCAGTAACTACTGACTAACGGCAACCACCGTTAGTCAGTACAGTATATAACTACTGGGCTGGGAGTTAATCCTCATCTCCTGAGAGATCATTGTCAGGGCTTACTGAGTTTTTTTAACGGTGGGGCATCATATGAATTTGGTAAAAAGAACGCATTGCATTGAAATATATGTGACATCGAATGTACGTAACACCCAGTCCCAAAGCTCATTTTAAAACAACATTTGATTGATAGCGTTTTAGTGGGAGAACTGATGATAGAAACGGTCATTGAAGGTAAAGCAAACTTTCCAGGTGCGTACCTGTCGTTATAACACTGGTCGCACGTGTCTTGTTCGGTCCCTGTGCACGGATGGGAGATCATGACTGCCCAACCTTCACGGCTGAAGTAGCTCCATTCCGTGTGGATGCCATCATTGCGTGGTTCTCTTAGGAGCTGGGCCAAGGTGCACAGTTGTTTGGATTGGAGCCTAAAACGTAACAGTAAAAATAACAACATATTTCCTAAAGTTTCATGTTTCATACCATGATTACATAGTACATAGTCCTGGCGACCCCATACCATCCACAGCATACCATGTCACAACCCTGTCAGTCAATTGGAACCCAATCATCGCCCATTCACTCCCAATCCTCGTTGGTCAGGACAAGACACATACAAACCGAACATTATCCTTATCTTCAAGCAGATCCTATCGCATATCGTATAGCATTTAATATTGTTTTGGGCGGCGCTGACTTAGGGGAAGTTTGTATGTTTGTGTTCCGTTACACACCTGCATTCTGTCGAAGCATCTATACTTTCGTCGGAGAGGAAGGTGTTCGTTAATCCCAATTCGGACTCGAACCCGGAACCTAGACCAGGGTAGCCGGATTCCAAATCGATTACCATATCCTTGTCTATGTCAATTTCCCCGATTTGCTTTTCCCACAAGTAGTCGGACACGTCACGTGCTGTCTGCTCATCCAGCTCAAGTAAAGAGCCGTGCCGGGAGCCTGGCAGCTGGGACTTCCGGAGACTGAAATTATAAACGGGTGAAAGTTAAATATATAATCCATTTTATGATGTAATTCAATCGGGCATTTCCAAATCATAATACAGTTCCAGTGCAGTCAAGGATACCCAAAGCACTTTCTTCTCACTCAGTGGGAAGAATGACTTATATAGAAATACTCACCGGTTGTTGTTGCAGACAGTGACGGAAGGAAAGGTGAGTTTCTTGTTGTCCACCACCTTGATGTCGACGTTAACCGGGTACTCAAAGTACGACTTGATCAAGATGGCGGACTGATACACAAACAGCGCCACGCAGGTGATAAGTATGACGGTCCAGATGATCCTGCAATCAAGAAAGAATATTGCAGACGCTGGAACTTCATTTATCTAATCACAAGCTTCTACAGGTTTAATTTCGCTACTAGTATAGCTGTGATAGTTTGAGCGTAAGATAAAAGAGGCCGTACACGTTAAATCCCCTTCCCCCATCTAATAATAACCAAGGCCGTCAACACCCCCCCCCCAATCTACTACATCT